GCTCTGCAAGATGTGTGTAGTGGTGGAGTGAGTTAAACCCTCCAGTGATGTCCATCAGACAGGGCAATTTCTTAGCAGCAACCTGCAGATAAGCCCCCCCAAATATGTGCTAGATCTCTATTTGGAGAAAAATTGTAAGGATTTTATTCACTTTAATGTTTGTTTTCGCTATGATGGGGTCACCGACCAGGTCTACTGCCAGAGAGTCGGTGGCTGAAGTTCTCTTCTGGGGGTCAGTATGATGGTTCACATGTTCCATCAACATGGAGAGGGACAGGTAATAGCCCTTCTGCAAAGTATACTGCCATATCTCACCCTGCAGTGGTATTTCAAAAGTAGCATCTTTGCTGATGTTATCCCAGCAGTGTGGGTACTGTATTTCCATCAGCCCCATCTCCCACTTACCTGAGGACTCAAGGTGCCTCACCAGCTCTACAGGACAGTTCATGCTGGTGTATTGTGGAAAGATGCCAGTGCTGGCATTGCTGGGCAGCATGAAGTCCTACAATCTCCTGTCTGCTATGCTTCCTTTTTCCCCTGCTCTGCTGCCAATCACTAGATGTTCTGGACATGGGAGGCTCCTGTCCAACTGTTAAATTTCTGGGGCAGCCACACCACTTCTCCAGCAGCTTTTTTCTGTCTTTCCCTTCTGCAGTAATGTTCTAATTCTGTAGATTCTATCCTCATCAGGATTCATTTTTTTAAATTCATCAGGGTAAAATGTCCTCTCAATTGCTTTGTGATCATAATCTGTTAAGTAGTGTGCAGGCAGCTGTCCCTTTCTCACAATTTCAGCTACTATATTTCATTACATATTCAAATCTCCCTTTTGTTCTAGACTCCCTGATGCTGTCTCCCTTTTTGAGTAGAGGCGCAGATTCTTTCATTTTAAACACACCACCATATATGGTTTTCCAGATCCTTGCAGAGTTTAAAGTGTTCGTGTCCACAAGCCTGGCTCTGATAGCTTGGTGAAGCTTGGTTATAGCTTCTCATAAACTTTGACAACACATCAACATGCAAGAGCTGTTGCATCTTGTAAACTATCTCCACACCTTGGTTTTGAGCATCCTGTTAAAATGCCCTATGACAGAGGTTTTTTTATCAGTAATAACATGGTGAACATTCTCTGCTTTAACATCTTGTTTAAAGGGTGGTTTAAAAATTCTTTTCCTGATCCAGCTGTAATTTCTTAGGCTTGCACTGTCTTCTAAAATTGTTTTAAAAGCCCCAGCTACCCAGAACATGTTTTGCCTTTTGAATCAATGGCTGAGGCAAGCTTGTATAGTATGTCTATCACTGATAAGATGTGCTAAACACCATCATTTTGATGGAAAACTGTTGCATATCCACCAAGTCTGCTTCCCACGGTGCATCCACTTCTGCCACAACCACCTGTTTCTTTTAAAGTGCTTTCTTGCTGCCATGTCTAAGCTATAAGCATTATAGTTTGCAAGCCAGGTTGCCACTTGGCTTCTGCTGAGATAGCAATTTGCCTTTTAGAAGCTTCAAAAAGGGGATTTATACCCCCAAATCTTCCCACCTCCCCAGGAGGACAGTAGATCTCTGCTAACAGAAGCTGTGGCACAGAGGTCTAGTCACATGCTATTACACATGCTTATGAAAGGAAACACTGGACAATTTATTTACCTCAAGTACAGATAAACTTTGATAACAGGGTATGAGGAGAGGGGAGCTGGTTGCTGGTCAGACTTCTCCAGACTTTTTCCTTTTTCCCTTGAACACTGCTGTCACTTCTGTGCCCAAGCTCCTTTCTTTGGCTGCTGCAGGCCCAGGCAGGAAGGCAGACAAGTCATGGTGCACTCTGGATTCCCCCTTGCTCGGTCTGACAGAACTTCCTGAAACTTTTTGTAAGGTCATCGACCTAAGGATAAGGCAACATAGATAGCAGCAGCCTGCACTCCATAGTGGTCTTACAGGTAGCTGGAAAATCCCTCACAACCATGGCAAAGGGAGGTCCCCCTGCAGTCCTGCGTGACGCTTAGTCCAAATCTAGTTTGTGGTTCACACGCCCATCGGCCGGTTCTGGTTCACATGGCTGTTTGGGGGAGTCCTTTAAGGTCTATTCCTTCTTGGTCCAGCTTATAGGATTGGTCTTTGCATGTGATGGGATTCACACCGGGGGCCCCTTGGTGGCCTCCTGGGAGGGTCTGTGACCCTCAGGCACATTCCAGCATGTCTGTGCCCCACCACCCTTTTGGTGTCCCTCTGCTCTTTTCAAGTCCCCCCACCTCAGACACATAGTGCTTGTTCTGCAGACAGGTAAAGTGCAGAGCCGCAACCTGGCCTATTCATTCCATTACCTCTTATTAAAGAATGTTTTACTTATTTTATACCTTTGCTTTTAGGGCTATATATTTCTGTGTCTTGATAAATGAGTTTGGGGGAATGATTGGTTGTGTCTTTGAAGATCTCAAACTGGGCAGATTCTGTTTTTATTAGGGAAAATTAAAGAAAAAGTGAACTGCACGTGTCATGATTGGTTTTATGCAGTTTAAACCCTTGTGGAGCTGATACAGCTGACCTGTGCATGTTGACAGACCTGTATATGTTTATGTCCAGGTGCTTCTTTTCTCAGTGTTAAGAGTCAACTGCAAGTCCCTGAGTATTTCAGCCGGAATGTGTAAGCGGGTAACCTTGTCTTCCATGATTTAAAGCCACACATGCTATTCAAAATGCAGGATCCAATCCTGTAATAGTCCCAAAGACCCTACAGGAACATAACAACATGGTGTAAAGGGCCAAAACCTGCAGGTGCTTTTCTGATGGGAGACTCTCCACTACTCTCCAAAGCCTCCAGACCAGGAGGCTATGGAGAAGAGGACGCATTGCCCGTGCATGATGTTTCCACGTATATGAAAGGTACATACTCAGAATATTGTGTCAGGAAAAGCGTCCTTGGACTTAACAGTATCTTCAGTACATGGTTTGGTATTGGTTTAGTCTCTTGGTGATGAATAGATGGCACCATCAACCCCTGCTTAGTTGAATCTGATCCATATAAATAAATAATAAATAGTCCCCTGCTTAGTATGTGTTTATGAGTATACTCCCAACCCAGATCACCCATAGTTAGAGGACTTTCTCGCAATCTCAGCACTGCGCTCTTAAGCATTTATTTTATTGGAAGAAGAGAGAAATTTTTGCCAAAGCTACAGCTGAGTCACTAGTGAAGATAACAAATCCTAAATTCAGCCGGTTTTGTTTTTCTTGCTATAGCTAAAGGAATTCAATATTCTACAGTGAGAGAGGATGGTAGGCTAAAACAAAGAGTAAAGAGAGAAATTATTTATTTGGAACATGTTAGGAACACTGTTCACAGTACATCATAACAGGGTGATTACATAATGGGGTGACCATAAAAGGGTGACTTAAAAAAGCAAAGACAAAGCGTAGATTATAGGCTGGTTGTGGAAACTGGTGAGTTTTTTCCTCCCGTAAGCAAAGCCATACAAATAGACTGTCTCATACTATTTCTGCACAGGTAAAAGATTGATTTACTCAATGTGTACATTATGTTGTATAAACATACCAATACTTAGATTAACACTTCCATATAGTTTATAATGTTTAATTTAAATACAGTATTATGTCTCATTGACTTGTTGATTTAAGGTGCAATTTATCAAAACCTACAGTAAATATTTTCTTCTTTTCTTAATCAGTTCTCTTTGGCACGCTTCTGGTTTATTTCAATACAAAAGTGTAGGATTGAATCAAGTATATAACACTGCAGGAACTTGAAGGTTTTTTGTTAGCATGTGAGTGCAATTTTAGGTTTACCACAAGCTTATTTACAAAGAACTGTATATGAATTTCAGTTTACTTTACATATAAAATGGCTAATGACTTTAATGTGCAAGGCAAAAAAATTTGTTACAGCAACTCCTCCCTTGAGTGATTTTTGCACCATGGAAATCTTGTATAAAATGTTTTACAAAATGGAGATTTCTTATGAGGAAGTTCTTGGTGCTTCTTATCCTGTAGCAAGCCACTTGAACACATGACTTTCTGGGTCCAGAAATGCTTCATAAAATACAGTTTAGCTGACATGTTGGCACTGTAGTAGTGTTGCACCTACAAAATTGCATGATCAACTGGCAAACTAAACCACAGAGCAAAAAACCAACCAGTGTGTGTAAAAAGCTTAAAAAAAGGTCTGCCTTCTATATTCTTGATACTATATCTGGTTTTATTCCAAGGAGGAATGATTTAGAATTTGCACTATGTGTTGCTATATAGTCTATTTACATCCTCATGACCTCTGCCTACTTTTGGGTTGAGTAATATTTGGTTAGAGTCAAAGATGAACAACAGTAAATGGACTTATTTCTGCTCTTGATGGAAATGTACTAGCGAGGCCATCAAAGTGGACCTAAACTGGTGAAGTATCACTTGACAAAAACTCTTCAAATGCCAGAAAAGCAAACCCACAGCAATTTATTCCACATCTAAAGGCCAGTCCCAGGAGCTGGCAATAACATGAAAGGCATGGGGAAACCTAGTACGTAAACTCTGGAAATTATTCCATGCCCAATTACTTCACAATTAAAAAAAAAGAAACCCTGTTCACAGTAAAATACTTATTACAAGGCCTTTCTGGTCTATTCCTTCCTGAATCACCCAAATGGTATCCTCTCAGCTGCAGAAATGAGTATTTTGGCACATGATCAAGTTACAGTAGGTGTCAAGTACAATGCAATCTGTTTAGAAGGCAAGGATGTTAAAAGTAATTTCATACAGATGCTTTGTAATGTGGGTAAGATGTGAAATGCTGTGCTACTCCTGAGTAAAACACATTTAGCTGTCTCAGTTAAGATACCCATTTATGAGCCTGCTGATTCCAAAGAGGGATTTCATAGCCTCAGTAATACTGTGTATTCTTTAAAAAAAGTATTTTATAACTTTTTCTTTAACCTGTCAGCAAGGGAGAGGTGATGAGAAGGGGCAGAACTAGAAAGGAGAATCAGAGTCTGTGTAGTAAATCAAATGCATGTGAGATGTAATTAATAATCAATTATCCTTTAAGCTTTTTGAGAGAGTGCATATGGCCATGTCTTTTAGTGCTCCTGTTTTACCTGAAAACTACTGGCTTTAGAACTGAGAAGTCTGCGTGAAGGATATGGTGTCAGACTTATCTACAGCAAAGCCTCCATTGACGTACGATTTCTTGGTCTCTGCTTCATCATTATCAAGTACTGTTTCCAAGGCAAAAGGATTGACTATGTTGACTTCAGAGGTGACATCCATCTGCTCCAGCTCCTTTTTAGAGAGCTTCTCCACTATCCCTGTACCAAAGGCATCTCCCAAGACATTCACCATTGTTCTGAATCGATCCCTATGGAATAAAAATGTTGTCAGACAAACCATTCTGCATGTTACTTGGAAAATCCTTTTAGTAAAAGTAAGCTACTCTGGCAAATGCAGCGCTGGTTTTTTCCCCAATGCAGATTTGGGGTAATTCTGCAATTCAAAGAAAAAAATCTTGTAGAATAAGAAGCAGAATTTTCCTCATGTGTATTTGAAGAAATCTGGAGTCACTTTCATGACAAATTACATGGTAAAGGGTGTGCAAAACTCTGTCACATTGTGTCACTAGTCTGTTAGAGCAGTAATCACACTGCTGTGTGCAGCCCTACAAAATGTTGTAGGGATCACTTGTCAGGCCCTGAAGTATGCTACACAGCTGGTTCTCTTTCATTGGGAAAAGAGACCGTGGGGTGCAGCAGAAGAGTCTGCTGCATTGAGCCTTTTGTCTTTCTAACAGTCATTTCCTCAGCCAGAGGATCACCCAGCCCAGTATCTTCAGTATTCTGGCCCAAATGCTGGAAATGGGAAAGGCTATCTTCTGTTAGCTTCTCATTGTTAAAGAGTCGAAGTACAAACTTGTATTAAAAACACTTAAAAATTATGATACTTCTGTACTATTGATTTCTCCCAACAGAAATGTGATTTTGCAGGTCTTAAAAATATGCCACTGCCTGGCAGAGGAGCAACAAAACCACACAATATAGTGAAGTTTGAAAATTGGCACGGAAGTAAGGTAGGGACAGTGGAAGGTCATGCTTCCCTGTTTTTCTTTTCAGCTACATAGCACTGCAAGGGCTTTGTGGCAGAACAAGTTGTCCTGTCTGTGTAGAGTTGTTGAGGTGGGAATATTCACAAATAAAAGGGACTGCAAAAACAATAATGAAGTGAATTGGCATGTCTCATACACATATTCTACCACAATCGCTGAACTCCAGTGCTAAAAAGTGCCCGTGGGTTCTCCATATGGAAAGGAAATACATGGTAGGTAAAGGAAGAGAGAGGGTTAAAGTGAAATTCTGGTAGGATCAGTGTGACAAGTGAGGAAATCAACAGCACTAGAAACTCATCTTTCATAATACCTCTCTTCTCAAAATTTTTCTATTCTTCATTAAAAACATGGAAGTACTCCTCACGCCTAAATAATAAAACTTTGGTAAGTTCAGAATTAACTAGAGGATTGTTAATGAGCCACTACTAGTGAGTTGCAAAATAATACATTTTAGGCAACAGGTACAAAAGGCAAAAGTGTTAATAATCTACGTGGCATCATGATGTGCATTCCATCTGCTGAGGTGCAAAATGCACTGGCAATGATCGCTGGTACATGAAATTAATCTTTAATTTGCTTTACACAGCAAGACACCTTAATCTGAAAAAAATCTCAATTAGAATCAGAAACAGCTTCAATTCTTTGTCTGTTTCATGGTGAAACAGGTAGCTTCCATGTATTCATATTGTGCCTAAGAATCACTTAAATTGTGGGGTTTCAAAGTGGAGATGAGATCAGATCCATAAAATTATGATTACTATGCAAAATAGTAATTACTGTTCTCTCTCTCTCTCTCATTCCCATAAAAATTAGAGGGCATCATGATTAGGATGTAGATTAAAACAAACAAAATGAAATATGTCTCTGTGGAACTCCTCTCCATAGGATTTATGGAAATCTAAAAGTTTATATGGGTTCCAAAAGCAACGAGGCATTCATGGAAGAAGAAATCTATTGAGAACTGTTAAAACAAAACCCACCTCTAGCTCAGGAACTCTGTGACCTGGAATTTGCAAGAGGCTAGGAGAGTACTTTGGGAAAAGAACCAATACACGTTTGTTCTGTCTTTAGATACCTGCTCTGAGCCAGCGGTTTGTACTGATCTTTACCATCCTTAACAAAACTAAATGTCCACTGGGAAAAGAAAAGACCTGGAGGAAACAAAATGATTGTGGAGCATAGCAAACAAACCTATTAGACCCTGTTGCAGACAGTTGATGGGGAGAATGTACTTGTCGTTGGAACTGTTTTGTTTGGAGCAATTATGCTTATACAGAAATTAAATTGATTCTTGGATGCATTCAATAGCCCCTGTTTTCTGGAGACTGGCATTTCTCTATACAGCTTGCAAAATTGAGTTATATAATCAAATAAATTATATATATCTGTATCTGTGAAATACATAGGTTGCTGCCAGAAATCCTTCAAGAAAATGATTGGAAAGCATGGGGGAGGATCAGGAATGCATTCACTTTGAGTGTAAATGTGAGCCTAGGAAGACATGCAGAGACTATGAAATGATTAAGATCTCTGTATTGATACCAGTGAAATATCATCTATGCTGAGTTACCGCAGGTGAACAAAACTTTGGTCTGAGCACTAAAGCTTGCATACTTTAGGAAGCAAAAAAGCTGTATTACTAAAGTTATACTCTTTGTGAATCCTGTTACTTTTTCCCATTGAATCATGGGACCAAACTGAATGCTGGTGCCCTTCTGAACTCCAGAATACACTGTGTTTCTTTGGGCTTTTGCAAAAGTAGTGGAGAAACGTGTTGGTGTAAGTCAAACAGAAAAGATTTCTGGTGAAAATGCTTCTCTCCAGAAAGAGCTGCTTAATGGGACTGAGGGGTTTTGGTGTGCTCTGAGGTGAGATGGTTGGGATCAGGCATAAGGACTGCTTTCTGAGTTTGCATGCATGTGCTTGTTGATCAAGGGGCTAGGCCTATAAAACTCTCAGTGAAGAAGAGCCCTAGCAGAGTAATGCTGGCAGCACAGACCCATGTACAGCCCACCATGCGCGTGCAGGTGGAGTCCAGGACCAGCTTTGCTTAGTTCATGTTGTGCTCCGCTACCTCTTCACCAGTGTATGGAATTTTATCTGCTTTGTGGAAATCAGCTGACATGTTCTGCTTGTGGCTGCATTTGGTTGTTACAAATGGTGTATGAATTTAGCATAACATGGTGGCAGCTGACACTCAGAGGCACTCCTTGGTACTGTCATATCTTTCCTTCCTGAGTATTATGCGCATGATTCATTAATGCTGTGCCCACTATTTTAAGGTGGATAGCACCTCTGGATGTGAGGTTACTCACTGCCATCCCACGCAGTAGGATGTCTCCCAGAATTAAGGCCACTACTGCATTCAACTCTATATTGAACAAGCCTGGTCATAAGAAGAATCTTTGTCCAATTCCTGCAACGGTCCTAAATGATTTTATTGCTTTCTTTCTCAGATCCACAAGTTCCCACACAAATTACGTAAACATTAGAAAAAAAGGAAAAAGAATTAAATATCAAGTGCCTTAAACTTACAGAAGCCAGTCAACTGCAATGATCAGAGTGACATCTTCGGCAGGCAGGCCAACGGCACTCAGTACAATCACCATTGTGACAAGTCCGGCTTGGGGGACACCTGCAGCCCCGATGCTGGCTGCAGTAGCTGTGACGCTAAATCCCAAATAAAGCCCAGAAACAGCATTCAGAATACATGTCACTCACAGAAACTCTATTTTCTGGTACAAATAGGCTTATTTCACTGCAAGAAAGAAGCCCAAATGTTCGAGTTTTCCTCTTGAATGTTATATACTCAATAACTTACTGGTGACAAGTTTACGGGACAAGTCAGGTATAGCTACTATTATGGTCACGTTGCAGAATAACAGGCAACGCGTGACTAACGAGCAAACTGGGCATCACAGGTCAAGGCCAAGTTGAATTTGCAAGTGTTTGCAGTGGAAGAATAATGGCAATTTCCAGAACAATGCTCTGTATCAGCTGCATGTCCTGGCCCACCCCACCTCCTCATCAGGTTGCACAGGCAAGGTCTTGGACTAAGAAGTGAGAATGTCTCTGTTACTTCCTGTGCTGTGAATGATAGTTTCAACTTTCCCATGGGGTATCCAAAGTTAATGTACCATTATCCATTAAAAAACCCACCAACAAAATGTGTGTGATAGCTTCAGTCTTACCTAATGGTCACTATTTGGCCAATATCCAGTTCTAAGTCATTCAGTTGTGCAATAAATACAGCTGCTACTGCTTCGTAAAGAGCTGTGCCATCCATGTTGATGGTAGCTCCAACTGGAAGAACGAACCTGGTAATTCTTTTGTCGATTAAGTTTTTTTCTTCCGCACAGCGGAAGGTGACAGGCAAAGTTGCTGAACTGGCACATAGATAAACACATGAAGTTAGTGCAGGCAACAGCATACCATTTCCCTTATCTTTCCTTTTCCTCAGAGCTTGATCTGCTGTAAGACTCAGAGATCTAAGGCAGGCAGGAAGGCTGCACCGCAAAAAAGCAAAGTAACTTTTGTTATCTCTTCTAATTATGGGAAGAAATAACAAAGTCTTAGTTATCCTTAAAGTCACATGGTAAAATTGTCATGAAGTATGTAGTCACAGAAACATTGCAACAGCTTAAATTCTAGCAAGTCTGTGACTAGTGAACTGAATGGCAAAGAATTGTCTTCTCCTGGGAGGGGCAGACTCTTGTACGGTGTAAGGTCAGTGCAATCTATAGTGCCCCTTTGGGTACTACAGAAATAACAATGAAAGTAGTATTTCAACCTCCAGGAGACTGAGAATTGTTCAGGTGAAATCAGAGTATGTAACAATACATACAGTAGCAATAAAATCAGAGCACTATCAATGCAATTACTATTAAGAACATGACAGAAAATAAATGTTTCTTTTGTTTACCTGGAAGAAATCATCAGGGCTGTCAGAAGTGCCTGAGCCATCCCCATTGCAAACCGAAACGGATTTTTCCTTACTATTATTAAGTAGATCAGTGGCAGAATTATAGTGGAATGGATTGCAAGTCTGCAAAATAAAATGGACTAGTTAAACAAATTGATCTATCTCATTGCCTCGTTTTAATAAGATGGTGATAATAGGTATCTAGTGCTGTCCTCAAGTCCACTTATGAAACACTAAAGGTGATTTTAGTGACACATATGTTCAAAATTAAGAGCTTGTACCATCTTTAAAAAAATGCAGACTAATGCTGTTCTACACTTTTTTTTCTGAAGGGAGAGAGATATTATTAATTGTCTGTCTTTCCAAAGTAGAACAAGCATTAACTAATATATTGGTAATAATTTTAAACTGAAGATAGAAAACTAAAGTAATAAATAATATTTAAACTGATAGGCAGAGGGTGATTTGAAATAATGGTAAAAAAAATCCTTGCAATGCAGACTAGAGACAAATTAGAAAAACAAACCAAATTATTTTTGTAAGTTTATCTACCTTTATCATAGAACACATTTTGGAATTAAAGATAAATATGGTCCCATATCTTATGTCCCCAGTCAGGGACAGATGAAGTCCACATCCTTCTGCAGAAACATCAAACATGATCCTATAGAAAAAAATCTACACTTACTTTGTGGACAACTATGTAAGCTTATGTCTACAATTAAAATGTAGTGAGGTGTTTCAGACTGTACAAATGAGATACATATATAGTCTCACCATCTTTAATGTTGTAAGATGCTGAAATACCCTCTTTTGAAACCATTAATTTTTAGAATTAAGTGTGTGGACATGCAAAAGATCAAATTGTCCTGTTGATTTCAGCTGCTCAAGTGTATTTGCCTGAGTATTTGGGTGGGTCTCAGGGACAAATCCATCCTTCAACTTGTGCATTAATTGTAAACATTGTGCATTAACCCAGAATGCATATGAATGCAGAGCTTTGTGGGCATTAAGATTAGAGATGAACAGCCTGCTGTGAGTATATTTGAAATGAAATATATGTGAAGGGTAAATGTAAATAATTCCTATATTCCAAGGTTGCAAGCAATTACAGCAACATCAGCTTCTTGTGAAAAGAAGTTATCATGACCTGGAAACATAAATCCCAGAACTGTTGTCATGTATGACCTTGGGATTTTTATTCTGTCCTCACAAGATGTTCTTGCGAATGTTACTATGTAGTAATAGTGCTTTATGATTTCAGAGCAGCTGATAAAGATAGTGATAAATCAGGGTACCATTTGTTCTGCCAAAAACAGGCAATTAGGAGAGCAGTAGCCACAGTACAGAAGTCCACAACAGCATCAAAAATCACCCACAAAACTGAACTATTTGTTTCCTTGGAAAAATTATCTTTTTAAAAGCAACAGGTATTAAAGTTTTCATCCTGTATGTGAACAATTACTTATTTAGTGGAAGTAAATAACCGCACCACACAACATGTATTGATATCATTTTGTAAAGAACTCTAGAAAGAAACCTAACAATTTATGCAATGGTGCCTGAGAACAAACTGAATTCTGCCAAACACATAGAAAAAAATAAAGTGGTGTGGGTGTCATTGGGTATCTTAACAAAATGTTGATGAGAGTAAACATTTCAAGTATGTCTATGTCTCAAAGCATACTGATTTCCAAATAGCTATTTTGAAAAATTTAGATGTGCACTTTTTTTAATTGCAGCATGAACTTGGCATTATCCAAAATAAAGCATTTGTGCATATCTGCTTTGCTACTACTGATTTTCATGAAACAAATTCGAAGTAATATTTATTTTCATGCATGAAATGCAATTCACAGCAAGTGGCACAAATTTGTATACCAAAAATCATAATCAGCAACCGAAAAGAGAAATTCTAATAGCATTCAGTTTTAACATAGGAAGAATCTTGTCCCTCAGAATCCCAAACTGGCATTCCTTTTAGTGTCCAGAGATGCAGCGATGCAGCTGCCTTGCTGCTTTCAGAAGAGACAAAAGGCACAGGCAAGAGAGAGTCTGCTTCCTTTTTTTTTTCTCCACCTCAGGCTGTGAGTCCTCTGGCATTGGTATTATGCCTCCTACTTTGATTTTCCTCCTCTGTGACTGCTAATATGTCCTCAGCCTGACGTCTCAACCATTAAAAAAGTGAGAGGCTGAAGATGTTTAGTGCCCAATTGGAGCAGAGGCACTGGAGGAAGTGTGTTCCCTCCTGGTGACCCACATGAGACCTAAAGTGAGATGTGTTGCAGGCAATGGTGGGTGAGAGCTGGTAGGGCTCACAGTGTGGAAGGTCATGAATAATAAAGCTGGGAAGAAGGTGAGATAGATAGAAGATCATCTGTGGAGGGAAGTTAAAGGAAAGGAAGAGGAGGATAAGACACACCAACCCTCATGTTCTCATACATTTTTCTTGATAGGAAACACATGAAGTATGTTGAAGATGATAGCCTGTAATTTTCAGGATGGAGCTTCAAGGGAAGATGACAGACAGCTACAGAAGATGTTGATGAACAGAACACACTGCAAACGGACAAGGTCAAGCAAATAAGGATGAAGAACAAAAAGATGGTGGGAAAAGCAGTGTTTAAGAAACTAAAACAAAGCAAGAGCACAACTCCTGTTTGCCGAGGTGGGAAGAAGGGTATTCTTGCAGGTTGGAAAATGTAGAACAAGCACCTTTTCCAGGCAGCCTATGGCCTTGTGTGTACATTGTCATCTTTGCTACCATGATCTGATTACAACATGCTCTCCCTGATGGTCAGTTTTGCAGAGAATGTGCTGCTGTTAGCCCTTCTCCACAACACCTTGAGCATCACCTGCTGTGGGCCATTCCATAAGACACAGAAATGCTGCAGAGATTTACCCTAGCACCTATCAGGGAAAACTGTAGCATGTGCAAGAATGTTCAGTGGAACAGAGACTTTTTCTCTCCAAAGATGTAAAGGTGGGCACCCTTACTATATACAATCATTTTGATGGCACCTGGGAACCTACTTAATATTATTGTGGCTGTCAAGCCCATGGTTACAAGCTAAACGGGAGACTATGAGTGGTGGTAGCTTCCTTTGCAATCAAAGTACTCTGGAGAAGGCACTGTGTCTTCACACACATCTTAAGGAACATATGGCCTGTCACAGTACAAATGGTAACCTTTAATAGGTAAACAGTCATAAAACTTGCTATCTGATCTAAAATTGAAGTCAAAGGGCAGTAATAATCCATGCAAAATATTCCTCCTCTGAGTTAATTTGAGTTAATAACATAGCAAACCTGCAGAAGTTATAGTTATTCTATAAGCAACTTCTATATATCTTGTGGTCATGGTCTCATTTATAATTTATATAGAAAATATTAGTCTCTTGATTTACAGTCTCTTGGTAAACATCTACTTTTGCATCCTTTAAAAATTTGATTTCTTTTCCAAGTCTAAATGGAAACTCACAAAAAACTGCATTATGCATTAGAAAAACATAACTCACACTCATTTCTGTAACATTTTGAAAAAGTCATGATTCAGTGCTATTTCTGGAGCTGTAATTTTTACTTAGAAAGTCATTATATCTCAAATGATTTTTGAACAGCTAGTCGAAACATACAGACTTATGCATAAAACAGAACAACAACTTTGAAATAAATATGATTATCTAGCAAAGATTACTGGGGGAAAAAAAAAAGAGACCCTTCTTGACTATTTATAAGGAAATTTGCATTTAAGACTAATATATTACCCTTCTCTCGGCTTGGTTGTCAGAAAGCCTGTGAATGACATTTGAAGAATAGCATGTATAAGCATAAAGTATGTGGGGGAAGAAGCTCTTGAACAACTTTGGATCTAGCCTCTAGACAAAACATGAATAAATCCTTACTATACTGAAGGAATTATAGGAGTGGTTGCTAAAGCAATGAACCAAGACAGCCTAGGAGTTATGCTTCACTGAATTGGAAATAAAAATTTAAATGCATTTAACTTATTGGGACTGTAGTATCCATTTATCTATCAAAGGGTTCCTTGTAGGATAGTCTTCAGAGATATATAATGATCTAGTATTATAACCTATATCACTTGAAGCAGTTAAGTTGCTCCTTCAAAGGCTCCACATCTACAAGACTCCACACTGTGCAAGTATAAACTCCTCCATCCCAGACTAATACACAGATAAGGGTCTAGAAAAAGAATAGAAAAAATGTTTTTATGTTTGTCTAAGTTACTCAGATAACAACTGCTGCTTTTGCAGCTTCACCAGCTACCTTTGCCTTGAGGAGTACCGAACAAACAGTGCAGTCCCCAGGGCTTCTCTCAAGGACAGCTGCCTGCTCTGCACTGAGGTGGGACGGGATCAGTTTCCTCTTCACGATCATTTATTGTGCACTGCACTTACTATGCATTTGTACTGGGCAGCGGAGCTGGGCCTATGCTGGTACACCTTGGGCCCACAGATGCCATGGAGGTTCTCTACTTAATCTGGATATTTGTGTATTTTCAGTAGGCTGGCAACCCCCAATAAGCCATAATTCACAATATCTCACCCTTTTCCAGCTTATTCTAGCATCTCACAGAAGCATTACTACTCTTAACAATACAATGATATTACCTGTTTCAGCACCAAGCTGAGAAGATGAAACAACGAATACAAGAACAGATTTAGCTTTTTTTTTTCAGAATGCAAAGCACTGACTTTTTAAAACAAAATATGCATTCAGCAAAATGTGCATTCAAAACTTCCTCATACATCCTCACATAATTTTCACTGACAAGAATTTTTGTCTCTGACCTAGAAAAGGCTGGATGTTGTGGATAACTGAGTTGCAATCAACTGAGCTCTAAAAACTGCACACGTTTAATTTCATCTTTAAGAAATTACATACCCACTTAGTACTGTAGCCATATAAAGACCCAGTTTACGAAAGATTTCCCAGTCCTCAACTTCTATTATCTTCCCAGCAATTAAAAACACGATACCAATTGGCATATACCTAGAAAGCAAAAATAAAGCAATTAAAATGCATTCTCAGAAATATTGTGTACTCACCATGGAATAATTTCTCACACAGCATAACTTTTTACAACAGATAGAAGTTTTTTTTATATATTCTATTACACAACTGAAGGTTTTTTTAATATTCTGTTATACAACTGACTATTCACTTGCAGCAAGACTACAATAGAGGTGATGAAAAAAGATTAGAAAATCAGAGCAAATGTAACCCTATGCATAGTCTAACAAATACTGTATGACCTGGAGTCTCAGAATATACAGAATTTGGGAAGGGGTGTGGGGTTTGCCTTACTGCAGCAAATGTTTATGCATAGCCATAAGTTTTCTTGGAGGTGGAAGTTTGCAGGGCTGAGACCACTATCTGTGCATTCTGCAATCACACACGGATGGGAAAGGTCTCCTGTGCTTACAGCCCTGCAGCCCTGGGGGCTCTGTGTGGGTCACCTGCACAGACTAAGAGCGATTTGAGTATGTTGGGATAGTACGGTCATCAGTGTGTTTCCTGATGGAAGGGTCCCCATCCCCCAGTAAACTTACACAAGGCCAAGCCTTACAGAAAATGAATAGCTGCACAAGCTACTGCCTATAGAAAATGCAAGGCAAAAATCAGACTTATGCTAGCACTAGCTCCACTGCATTCCTTTTGGTACCAGAGAGCAGGCTGTCACAGAGACAAGTTGCCACTTCAGAGCTTTGAGTAGTTATTAATTAATTTATAAATTTGTGAATATATAAAATGTATCCATTTTAAGATACAAATTATACATTTATAAAGTGTATGTGCTATCTCACAAATAAAATATTACCTTGTCCCTGTGCAAAGCAGGGACTCCTAGTTCCTTCTGAGTCCTGAACTTGTTGAAAGCAGACCTAATTCGTCACACTGCCAGCATCAAACTTAACCTTATTCAAGGCAATAGCTCCCACACCTGTAGAAACACAGGGATCCTATAGCCATAGCTTCAGGCACACACAAGAAAATGGACAGTCAGCTTATGTGTAGGATCATGTATTTGTGGCATGTGCTAACACCCAGTTCTCATTAGTGCTAATTTGCTGCAGAGTGAGGCAGCCTATTTCATGGGGCTGTAACTCAGCTGGGGACTGAGCCAGCTGCCTGGCACAGGACAAGTTGCAGAAACTAATTAACCTTTCTTTAAAGGCAGCAAGAAGTGTGCAACTAAGCCTTGGACAGTTTTACTGTTTTACAGGCATCCCAGTGTGCTGGGATGGAAGAAAAATCCATGGAAGGGCCAGAGTTGATAGGCTACTGTTTGTGTGAAACATGCAAGCGGAGTATTGTAGTAAACAGCACAAGGCACTCCACATGTAGGATCAAACTCTGGAAAGGACTGTGTGCACTTGTAGTTCCCATCCTGTAATTGTCATCTGCATGGACAAAAGCTCTGTGAACAGCTGTGAAGTCCAACCAAACACATCAGACAAGTTTCTACATTTTTAAGTTGTTTTTCCTGTCCAAGAATATTACAAGAGAATATTGTGAGCATGTTGTCTCACAAAACCTATTAGTAGAAGGTAAAAGATGCTAAATTGAATTTTGCATACAATTTTGGATTTTCCTCTGTGCTATGGCTTGTATATTAATTTATATTTCTAAAGGAACTCAGCTCCGAGGACAGCTAACCTGTGAGCATAATGGCTATCAGGGCATAGTGTTCAAGACTGAGAAGGGCACGTGGGTGGTAATGCTTCTGCAGTCCTCAAATCACTAGTGGAGTTGTACTGGTTTGATATTAACCTCTACCAAGAATGTCTGAAAAACTAACATTTCCTGTGTACCAATAAGACTGTTTCTTGAGTGTACAGTATGTGGAATCCCTGTCTCCAGTTTCGCCAACAGGATAAAATTCTGTAGAAAGGAAACTTTTTACCAGCCTTTCTTTTAAAGTTGTTCACTGTCAAGCACTATACAAAAGCAAACATGAAGTATGAGTCTGCTCCTACCTCATCAGTGACAAAATCCACTTAAATAAGTTGTTAGAAAATGCCAGTATGTCCTTGGACTTACCACATAATTATCTGAACTATTCTCATTGTAGCTTCATTCAGTGCATTGAAAAAATCCACCAGCACTTGTCCTTTCTCTCCCATTTTCCCAATAACCATTCCAAAAACAAGACAAAAGACGATTAACCCCAGCACATTGATGCCGTCAGAATATATGCCCACGATTTTATATTCTTGGGTTTTGTTCTACAGATTCAAGAGAAAAAAGTTACTATCAGAAAACACTGAATTTATTTTAGAGAGTTCTAAAATGAAAGCACATTTAGATCTTTCTTTGAAAAGACACGACACTCTTCCCCACTCTATTCCCTTTCTGGCAGTGCCAAGTGGGCAAGTTCAGGAATGAAGGTAGAACTAAATTGTCTTTGAAAGCTTTGTATTGTATACAAGGATCTGACCAAACCCTAGCAGGGGATAAAGCACCCCTTAATTCATGTTGCCCTGACACAAAAGTATAGCAGGGTCTAGGTATCCACAGTCATGCCATCAATATAATCAAGCCTTACTTCCTACTGTGGAGAACAAAATACAGCTGATGTAGAATCCTTGTGGTTATTTCTGAGCAACTCAAGGGTTTGTGTCTGGATTTAAGAAAAATAGTCTACTGCATAAGAACTGGGACAATAGTGTCCAATTTTGCCCCAAGTTTAAAATCTATTGTTCAGCTGAAATCAGTGAAATTGAATAATTTATAGCAGAATTGGATGCACATAACATAAAAATCCTGCTAAATAGGTAGAGATTCACACTTCCCTCTGTGTTTGTGCAGTATGAAGGGAAGGGTGCAATTCTTCACTACATCCTGCTTCAGGATTTAATTCATGCCTTTTCATGTAGCTCATGTTCCCATGCTCTCATTGCTATGAGATGAAATTTGGAAGGAGTATAACAAAATGCATATTGATTTGGTACTTTTTGTAGTTCTGTGTTCATATTCTGTCAAATTCCTTTCTCCCTCTCCTCCACAGTAAGTCTAGGCTTTATGAACCATCAACACCCAAAAGTTTTCGACACCTTTAATCAGAGGCTCTTTAAACTTCTTCACTTTTGTCTCTTTACTTTTTTTTTTCAGAGTAACAAACTATTAATTAACAAATGCCTTCCATTGTTTTGCTTTCCACTAAAAAAAAATCATTGTGATCTTCCGTCCCTTTCTTTCTGCAGTGGTTACAGTTATCTCATTGCTGCTCAGACATCTTGTGCTGATATACATCTAGCCTTTCCCAGTGACTGTTTTCTTTAATTTTTCAACAAATTGACAGTTCATTAGCATATACATTTAATGGAGTATATTAATGGATTATTTTCTCACATCACGTATTATCTTTGGACTGCTTAATTATCAGTGGAGTCCTCTTAAACCTACTTGAAGATCCTCATATCACCTCTACAATTTACTTATTAAGCTTTGTGCTCTTGCTAAAATCTATGTATGTACCATTTCCTTCCTTTTTTCAGTTGCTAACCACATCAACTAAACCAAATTTATTCTATGTTCTTTCTCCCCACTTCATATATTATGAAGAAATACAACAATAAAGGTCATACCTCTGAAGCCTCTGCTGTCGTAGCAGTTGTAACAGGTTCTTCTGTAAATGTGGAGCCATTTTTATCCACACCAGCTGTAGCTTCAATTTTTTCACGTTTGGTTTTATACTGGAAAATTTAAAAAAAACCCCAAACAAACCAAAAAACCCCCAAAAAACTTAGAAACATGAGGGAAATGAAGAATGGACAAAGGCATAGCCTTTGCCCAGTAAAAGAAAAGGGGGAAAAATAACCAATCTGACTTGAAGGTAGCAAACATAGACAAACATGTTATTTCCCAGTTCATGTGAGCCATCATGGTTCTGTACTTCAGATGCTGTAGATCAAACAAGTGATTCACAGATAACATGCTACAAATTCTGCTTCCCAGGCTCTTGTGTGCCCTGTGAATCTGATGCAGTGTTGTGGGGATGAGATACAGCTCCTGACCATGACAAGGGGACTTTTTGCTGGGACCAAATGTCTAGAGAGAATTGCTAACAGCCACCCCAGGAGACGTCTGTAGAGCAGATGCATCTGATAGAATCAGACCCTTGGTAATGTAGTTAGCATGACTAATATAAAGCAAACAGCCGTTCTCTGTGGCTGAGCTGGTCACTTGTTAGTCCCCTTTCCCCTTATTATCAGGCCCTGAAGGTCCTGTGCACCAAGTAGACAATCCAAACAGATTTTTTCTTCCCCTCCCTAACAGCCTCAAGATAGATTCCTGGGTGCCACACTGACTACTCCTTTTCTTACCAGCCTTGAAGGTCCCAGGCACCTGTCAGACAGGTGTTGATGACCCTGCCACAGAACAAGGAAGCATAACAGCATCCAGAGCACTGTCCATAAAACCAAGCAGTTACAAGTCCTAAGGGGGAACCTGAACTGCAGCTGCTGCTGGACACTGAGACCCAGGAATCCCTGGTGGCCAGGGACGCCTTCACCATTGTCTGCTTCCTCCGAGGACTGAGGGAGTGACTCATATTCTATGTTTTTCAAGTCTAGATTATCATTGTTATGTCGATACAAAACCATGTATTGAGATTTGACCCAATCTGCAGAAGGTCCATGTGATTAGTAAGCATAAGCTAAGTGGTACTATTATAAAATTATACTACACTGATTCTGCTTATAGAAATCCTGTGCTATTCTGACTATAAATTCTGTGCTATACTAATCATAATATCCTGTTAAGATATTATTGTATTGCTTTAATTGTAACTATGATTTAGTGTAGTCATCATTCTGCCAAGGATCCCTAAAAGAACCTCTGTCTCCTTAGCGCTGGGTGACAGTAATTAACATATGAAAAACAACAGGAAGAAGTTTTATAAACTGGAAACACATTCAGTGCTGTGCACAGCAGGACACTTAACATCATTTACTGGGAAAGGTTAACTACCTCACATACAAACCTCAGATAAACTGCTAGGCAGCTGCTGGGGAAGACAAAAAAGGGAAGCAGAGAGCTTCATAAAAACCAGCTGATATATTTACAGATAAAGATGACTGAATCTCAAGTAAATGTGATATGTAGATAGCATTTTTCTGTTTCATCTTGTAAATCTCATTTTTTCTGAAAGATGTCTCAAATAGACTCTACCAATTGGTTGCCTTTTCTTTAAGATGGATCATCAGGTCTGGTAATGGACATTAGATGTGAAACACATCAGGTGAGGGTTTAGTTATACACATTTCAACTAGGAAATAGATCCTCATGACATGGGTCTTCTAACTCTCTGCCCCAAAAGGAAAAAATCTTGTCTTATACACTGCTTAGTTTCTGCACCCAGCTCCTAAAGAGTGTCTTTTTGCAAGGGATGATCAAGGACTTAATAGCTGATAACAGTGTGTTTATCATTATGGAAATGAAACCAAGATACATTCAAAAAAGTCTTTTTATGGGAGATTAAGATACTCCTGGACTGCTCAGAAATAATTGTGACATAGTTTTTGGGGAGATAAAACTTAAGAACAATTTGTAGTTAGCAATGAAAACTACAGTAGCAAAAAGGAATGTTCAAACTTACTTGTTGAAAACAGGCCTGGACAAGATTTTCTGGGAACATATTCCTGTTAAAAAAGTAGAGGCATTTCAACATTATAGCATACTAAAAAGAATTTGTTTATATAAACAAAATGATAAAATCTGCTGCTTGAAAAACAGATCAGGTTGTGTTCCTTTATCCAGAATGCAGTTTATTTAGCACCATCAGATATAAAATCAAAAGAAATTAAGGCTTCAGTACTCCCAACGATCAGTTGGCTGTTTTCCTACTGTTGAATTTTCAGGCTTATTTCTCAGTATTTGACATTACTGCTGGTAAGCTAATAAACCCAGTGGTTTTTTACCCTGCTGCTTCATCTCAATCCAGCTCACTACCCTAGATTTCAGGAGAGCAGATACTGGCATCTTCAGGGATCTGCTTGGTAGAGTACCATGGGACAAAGCCCTGGAGGGAAGAGGGGCCCAAGAAAGCTGGTTACTATTCAGGGATCACCTACCCCCAAGCTCAGGAGCAATGCATCGCAACAGAGGAAGTCAGGCAAAAACACCAGGAGGAGGCCTGCATGGATAAACAAGGAGCTCCTGGACAAACTCAAACACAAAAAGGAAGCCTACAGAAAGTGGAAGCAAGGGCAGGTAGCCTGGGAGAAATACAGGGAAAGTGTCTGAGCAGCCAGGGATCAGGTTAAGAAAGCCAAATCCCTAATAGAATTAAATCTGGCCAGGGACATCAAGGGCAACAAGAAATGCTTCTATAGGTACGTCAGAGATAAAAGCAAGACTGGGGAAAATATGGGCCCTCTTTGGAAGGAAACGGGAGACCTGGTTACCTGGGATATGGAGAAGACTGAGGTACTCAATGACTTTTTTGCCTCAGTCTTCTTCGTGGGAAAGCCCTCTAGCCACACCACCCAAGTTGCAGAAGGCAAAGGCAGGGACTGGGAGAATGCAGAACCACCCACTGTAAGAGAAGATCAAGTTCAAGATCATCTAAGTAACCAGAAAGTGCACAAGTTCATGGGACCCGATGAGATGCATCTGCAGGACCTGAGGGAAGTGGTGGATGAAGTGGCTAAGCCACTCTGCATTGTATTTGAGAAGCTGTGGCACATGGAAAACAAGGAGGTGATTGGTGACAGCCAACATGGCTTCACTAAGGGTAAATCATCCCTGACATATCTGGTGGCCTTCTACAATGGGCTTACAGCGTTGGTGAATGAGGTAAGAGCAACTGATGTCATCTAGCTGGACCTGTGTAAAGCTTTTGACACCGTCCCACATGACATTCTTGTCTCTAAATTGGAGAGACATGAATTTGATGGATGGACCACTCGGTGGATAAGGAATTGGCTGGATGGACGCACTCAAAGAGCTGTGGTCAATGGCTCAACATCCAAGTGGAGAGCAGTGACAAATGGCATTCCTCAGGGGTCAGTACTGGGACCGGCATTGTTCAACATCTTTGTCGGCGACCTGGACAGTGGGATCGAGTGCATCCTCAGCAGGTTTGCCGACGACACCAAGCTGTGTGGTGTGCTCAACATGCCGGAGGGAAGGGATGCCATCCAGAGGCCTTGACCGACTGGAGAGGTGGGCCTGTGCAAACTGCATGAAGTTCAACAAGGCCAAGTGCAAGGTCCTGCACATGGGTTGGGGCAATCCCAAGCACAACTACAGACTGGGGGGGAATGGATTGAGTGCAGCCCTGAGGAGAAGGACTTGGGTGTGTTGGTGGATGAGAAGCTCAACCTGAGCAGGCAATGTATGCTCACAGCCCAGAAAGCCAACGGTGTCCTGGGGCTGCATCAAAAGAGGCATGACCAGCAGGTCGAGGGAGGTGATCCTGCCCCTTTACTCCGCTCTTGTGAGACCCCACCTGGAGTACTGCGTCCAGCTCTGGGGGCCCCAGTACAAGAAAGACATTGAGCTATTGGAGTGAGTCCAGAGGAGGGCCCCAAAAATGATCAGAGGGCTGGAGCACCTCTCCTATGAAGACAGGCTGAGAGAGTTGGGGTTGTTCAGCCGGGAGAGGAGAAGGCTCCAGGCAGATCTAATTGCAGCCTTCCGGTACCTAAAAGGGGCCTACAAGAAAGCTGGAGAGGGACTGTTGACAAGGGCATGTAGTGACAGGACAAGAGGTAATGGCCCTAAGCTGAAGGAGGGTAGGTTTAGATTAGGTATTTGGAAAAAAATATTTTCTGTTAGAGCAGTGAGGCACTGGACCAGGTTGCCCAGAGAAGTTGTGGATGCCCCCTCCCTGGAAGTGTTCAAGGCCAGGTTGGAAGGGGGTTAGGGCAACCTTGAGGGTGTCCCTGCCCATGGCAGCAGGGTTAGAACTAGATGATCTTTAAGGTCCATTCCAACCCAAACCACTCCATGATTCTATGATTGTATGATTTGCATGAGGAATATAGGACACACCATTTCTATAAGATTTGTCAAATATAGCTAGAAAAAAAATAAGAACTGTTATAAATGTTGTGCTGGAAGAATCAGATGTTTAATGTCTATCATAGTTTTGAATTCTGAAACTGATCTTGGCTGATGGAAGATTTGCATGTTATTACAGCTGTGTGCCTCCTTTTCAACCACAAATTTCATATTCAAACGATTGCAGAAAAAAGCATTAATTATTTATAGAATACCCAGTCCAGTGTGGAAAAAAACAGTTTATATATTGAAGCAGAAGTCTTTATCTCCCTTCCAGATCTTTCATGAACTCGTGCCTTTCTTTTTCAAGTTTCCAAGGCAAAATTTCTTGAAAGGGCTTCCTGGGCTGCATCAAAAGAAGCATGACCAGCAGGTCGAGGGAGGCGATTCTGCCCCTTTACTCCACTCTTGTGAGACCCCACCTGGAGTACTGCGTCCAGCTCTGGGGGCCCCAGTACAAGAAAGACATGGAGCTGTTGGAGAGAGTCCAGAGGAGGGCCACAAAGCTGATCAGAGGGATGGAGCACCTCTCCTGTGAGGACAGGCTGAGAGAGTTGGGGTTGTTCAGCCAGGAGAAGAGAAGGCTCCGGGAACATCTAATTGTGGCCTTCCAGTACCTGAAGGGGCCTACAGGAAAGCTGGTGAGGGACTGTTTATCAGGGAGTGTAGTGACAGGACAAGGGGTAATGGGTTTAAGCTGAAGGAGGGTCAATTTAGATTAGATGTTAGAAAGAAATTCTTTACTGTGAGGGTGGTGAGGCACTGGAACAGGTTGCCCAGAGAGGTTGCGGATGCCCCATCCCTGCAAGTGTTCATGGCCAGGTTGGATGGGGCTTTGGGCTACCTGTTCTAATGGAGTGTGTCCCTGCCCATCGCCGGGGGGGTAGGAACTAGATGATCTTTGAGGTCACTTCCAACCCAAACCATTCTGTGATTCTATGATTCTATGAAAGGCAAGAGTACAAACCTAGGATTTCCTTTAATCTTTCCAAGACTGTCTGGGTTTGGATCTTAAATCTGATGAATATAAATAAGTAGGAAAAGTAACTATAATTCCTTCAAAAGATAATTTCAGATTTCAGATTCCTAATTTACAGTCTTAAATTTGTTTACAAGTCGTTGAGCAACTGTAGCAAAACCCCAAACTACTCTGAGGTACAAATCACATCACTTCTTACTACTGGAAGACTTTTTTGTGCATGGAACTACACCAGCCCTCTGAGTATGTGTGGAAATGTTCATGTGGAAGCTACTGGTAACAGACTGCATTATGTTTTATAAGGCACCTGATTGCGGTTTCTTTCATTGATTCCTGGGCAAGTAACCATGAGGAATGAGATGAGCCATCCAAGGAGCTGCCATTTTGGTCATGCACAGGCAGGAGAGGACAGAGGCTGGGAAGAGCTGTGGGTTGTAAAACATGGGGCTTTGGGGTTGAGGACTGTTAACTCACATACAAACCTCAGAGAAGCTGAGTTATTCTCAAAGAGGTCCACCTTGATGTGTGCTGGGGCAGAGATGCCCCAGATGATAGCAGACATTTGCTATTAAATAGGACAGTGATTTTTTCAAGGCAAATATATACATTGGAACAGGCTGCCCAGGGAACTGCGTGAGTCATCTTCCCTGGAGGTATTTAAAAGACATGGAGATGTGGTGCTGAGGGACATAGTTTAGTGGTGGATTTGGCAACGCTAGGTTAATGGTTGGACTTGATGATCTTTTCCAACCTGAATTCTATGATTCTATATATGTATATACGCATATGTATATTTTACAAATGTCAAAGAACTGTATCTGGAGTTGCACCTGCAAACACCACTCACATTTCCTGACATAAGAAATGCTGAGAAAGCCAATTTTAGATATGTGGCAGTTGATTCTTACATGACAGATTTAGTAAAATTCTACAAAAATAAAATAGTGGGCAGGATTATTGATACAGAATTGCAGATGGAGAAAAAAACAATCCACAGAAACATTTTTGTGGGAACTACTTAGCCACTGTTGGAAACACAGCCCTTTTTTGTGATTTTTTTTTCTAATTTCTAAAATACATTAGCTCTGAAAACCTGGTGAAGTCTTCTACAGACTTTTCTAGGAGTTTCCTTCTTCTCACGACTTTATGTATCTATATATATAACCATTTATGTATCTCTATATATAACCATTCTATGATTCTGTGATCTACCATTTTCCAGAATGCTGATGGGGAAAGACTCATTGTAAGGTTGCCTTAGATACTGATGATGCAGCAAACTTGTTGACTGTGCAACCCTAAGAAACCTTTGCATAGTGTGTGTGTTACGCTGCATCCTGTTTTGAGGAGGGGAAACACAACACTGCCATTTCAGGTGGCTGTCTATGCTGGATGACACAGAAGCTGCCAGTCAGTAACCCACCAACCATTCAATCCTTTCTGGATATTTTCTTCAAAATACAAAAATCTTGCACATCAATTTCTGCAAAAGACGGAATTTTTGCTGTCATTGGTTTATTAATCAAAGTCTATGGTGTAAAGAGAATTTTTTTTTAACAAACTGCTTTGAATATACTCTAAAATGGCTAACCTGTTAGAATATAAGTTATTCTCTCCTTATTCATCCAAACAACATTAGAAAGATTTTATTGTATTACACATCACAACTTTTTTTGTATTTGTTTGGATTTCTGCAACAAGGGTATGGAAACTAAAAACCAAAACCTTACCTGATCAGATCCAGCATGGCGTCAACCGTATTGACTTCTGGGGTACTGCCCACCCTGTCAATCTCATTTGCTGTTTGAGGCACTCCAGGTTTAATGGTCACAACTAAGACAATCCCTGCAGAAGAAGAACCAGAAGAGCTCACAGTGTAAGCAGAGGCACCGATGCATCCTGCCTCACTGTATCCCGTGTAGCTACATTCCTCATGAGCTAAACTCACCATGAGCTAAACTCACCTGGGTGTCAGGCAGGGCTGTTCAGAGAAAAGAAGTCTACAGGTGGTGTCCTTAAATGTGTGGGTTCCCCCAACACGGGAGCTACTTGTAGCCTTGCCACTGGACTCGGACACTCGTTTTGTTTTTGCATGCATGATACTAAATCACTACTGCTTACCAGGAGCATAAATTACTTCAGCTGGGCTTCAGCTGAATTGTTCTGCAACTTTTGCATGGTGATATTTTGAATTCCTATTTACCTTTTCCTTTATGCAGCTCTTCTTGTTACTAGCTTTCAGATATGAATACAAGTGTGTTTTCCTGTGTACCCCAAAGTACAAGAGGATGTTTTGGTAGTTAGTTAGCAATGAAGTTATATAAGAAAAGGGTTTCAGAAACAGACTGAAATAAAAAATTACGAGTAAGAAATACTGGCTTTGACCTTGTGAATACTGAAACCAATGACAAATTTTCCATTTACTTTAGTGGCTTCATTTTAGGCATTTTTACTATTATATTAAATACTTGGCCTTTCCAAATGTACATTACTTTTTCTTTCTCTTTTTTTTCTCCCCCAAATCCAAACAAAGCTAAAGCAAATGAAACTACTAAATCTCAGTGTAGGAGGAAAGGTATTTGGATTACTCTTCAATCAGACAAGAACAAGGCTTTCTAATGACAGCTGTGAATAAAAGCAGAACTGAATTTGTCTAACTCTGCACAAAGAAACAAGTAATGTCATAGCATCACAGAGTAACTTAGAATAGCAGGGACCTCTGGAGATTGCCTGGTTTAACCCCTCTCTCAGGATAGGGACAATTTCAAAGTTAGATACATGTTAATGTTTGTCTTTATTAATTTTCCTCACTATGTATTCACAGAAAAGTTCCCGGCAGATGAGATGATAGCCTGAACGGTGTAACTGCAATGATATATTATTCTCAATGATGCAATCTGTAGAAACTAATCTGGCCTTATATGTCTGTATGTGATTCTTTTTCTATTGTTAAATACTACTTTGCTTTACAAGTAGGCCGCATACGATGTACATTTTGTCCTTCAGGTAAATAAATAAATACCTGTTTCTTTTTAGTGAGTGATATGTAGGCAGAGTATTCACTCAGGCTCAACAAAATAAAAGATAAGCCATAAACTACATAACAGGTGACAGAGGACGGTTTAATTTTAGTTCTTATTTAAGAAGGCAGGCTGAAGATGTTTAAGGAAACATGGAAGATTTCATGGTTGCTTGTACGGAATGAACTTTCTGCAAGAGGAGATGTGGACTTCAGAGAGGTAGGAGAGGCGTCTGGCAGTGACAGAGGGGACAAAAACCTTTTAGGAAGGAAATGAGATGACAAGGAAAGCAGTATTTTCTGTCATTCTTTCCACTGAGACACATTATGCATTCTTGCACTGGAGAATCAGCAACAATCTATCATTTTGCTGTTGAAGAAATTCACTTTGTAGTTAAGGCTGGCCTTTGATATTCATTCAGCTTTCCAACTGCTGGCCACTATTCACCTAAGCAGACAGCTCCTAATCTTCCCTGACCTGAAATATGTGGTGAAATTGCCTGTGGTTTCATATTGGATATGAATACAGCCCAACTGTGAACAGTGGGACTAACTTCTCCCTGTATCTGGCTACAAGTATGTCAAGAAGTTTGCTATGATTTCTGTCTCTTCTCCCCATCCTGTCTTGGGAAATTAGTAATGTCACACTGCTATATACTTGTAATTAGGTGATGCTGAGGATTTGGAAAGTTATAGGAGCACAGAGTACCTAGTATTACAGCAATGACTGTAGTGCAGAAATAATATATGACTGCTCGCAAACCAATCTTCCCAGAAACACTGGAATCCAAAGCAGCAACACCTGCAAAAGGAACCACAAAAACAAAGCACTTAAAAACAATCTTAGAAGAAACTTGTTATTTTTGTAGAGACAATTATTTATTCTCTTATTTCTATGCAGGAATTTTTTCCTTATTCAAGATATTTTTAAATACCTAATTGCCAGTTGCACTTCTGAAAAATATCTGTAGCAGACCAATGTATTTGCTTCTGCTTCTCTGCAAAAATCCATTTTCCCCTGGATTTTTCTGGGAAAAACATAATTGAGCTTTTCTGATTCCCTGATGTTTGCGATGAATTAGACTTCTTGGGTTTATTAAAGTATGTTACAATTTATTTCCATATTCACTTATATAATAGTTTGACTTTCTTCAGATCTGTAACGTTTTGGCCTTAAAACTAAAAGCCAGGGGAAAGGGCTGCTCAGGGCTGTTACCCTAGGTTGCTCAAGGGCACATACAGACAGTTAAAGCTCATTCTTGGTGGGCTTGCTTTCATTAACATTTTTTTTTTTTTTTTTTTTTTGACTAAAGCTTTTCTGAAGTCTGGGCTACTCCCACTCCTCTGCCTGCATCTGTCATTGCCAGTGTTATATACTGAGGTCAACCTAACTTCTGGCAACAATATTATATCAAACTGCTCATGAAGTATTTTTCAATTGTTTAAAAGATTTACAGTTATATCTGTACACAAACAATTCAGTAACCAGGGTAAAATGAGCATTGTGACTGTAAAACTTGACCGTCTATAACCACACTAGTTAATAATTCACTGCTATCTCTTTATTATACATTTGCGATCCATTTATATTTTTATGTTTATTGAGTCATATTATCAAAGACTGGCCAGATTCCCTTGTATAGGAAAGCAAAAATACCATGAGGATATTTAACTTCAAGAAGCATGATTTTGTAGGAAAAAAATGAAGTTTCAAAAACTAATGGAGAAAAATCAAAAGATATTTCTGACATAAATGTAACTTACTGATCTTTGAGCTCAAAAAAGATCTCAGCAAGCATACTTCAACCATGTGGTGATGTCTCTTTCAGAAGGAATATTAACAGCAGTAACAACTTCTGCCTAGAGCTTTCATATAATACCTTACTTGTTCTGTTAATTGTTATTCAAAATGCAAACAGTACTGGGAGGGGACACTGAAGGTTATTTTGTTTCATCATCTGTTTGATTATTTTTGGGTCTTCCATGGGATAGCATATTATCAGACTGACTACAGAAGAACTACGTATACATGCAGAAATTATGATGTAAAGACTATATCACTTGTACAGTAAATAAGGATAATAGAAGAACTACTCATATGGCAAGGGAATACAGACCAGTGCACAGAAAAAAGTAATGCCACTGCTATTACAGGAGGCTGTCAGCACTAAGGATATTGCTTGAGGCACAAACAACAGAATGGACACAGAATCTGGGCCATCATTTCTATTTCTCACCTTGGGAACAGGGAAAAAACAGGTAGAAAGGAGGACTTCGTATTGCTGTGGGCACAGCTGTGGAAATTACGGCAGCGAGAACTCTTGAGAATGGATAGTAATAAATAACAGGTTCAGTGGACAATAGAAGAGCTGGTTTCAAAGGCTGTCAATGTTGAAACTTTTGCACATGATACATTAACTTCGAAGTCTGTACATCATGTTTGTAAGAGAGAGCAAACTGATATTGCCACAGTTCCATATCTTTTAATGAAAAGTTCATAAAAACTAGAAATAAAAGAATTTTATTCTAAAACTTGTATCAACGGTCAATATCAATTAGACAGACAGTGGAGGTAAGATAATAACCTTTTCATGTGATGGAGTGCTTCAGAAAGCTTGCCTTAAGATTTTTTTTGCCTGACAGTCTTGCTGACTTAGCCAAGAGCCTAATAATCATGCAAGGTTACTTCCCTGGAGTATTGAGTTACAAAGATTCTAGAATTAGTATGACACGAAGCTCCTGTGACAGCCATTCTTTTGGCTCCAAACAAAAACCCTTTGCAAACTGTCACGATCACTGAAGTTACAGAGGTATAATTAAGGGAAAACTTTGCCCCTGCCTTTTTAAACTGGATAATGATCCTGTTAGTGAGTGAGCTGTGCTAGAATCCAGCTTGTGCTTCCACTGTCATGTCAGTGCTGTTTTGCTAGTAGCTGTAAAGACACGGAAATCAGGCAGGCAGATGTAACTAAGTACAAGTACGGTCTGAGGATGACAGGTGTGGGTTTGGTTTTGTTTTTTTGAAAACAGCTGTACTCTGAAACAAAACTGTATTCAGGATTATGCTTCCAGTCCGAGAATGAAGTAGCATTCACTACAAGTGCCACAGACACAGGTTCGTACTAGGTGCTTTATGGTGCTAAGCTCCTTTTTTTCATATTTGCTTGTTACACATAGGAAAACACAATATATAAAAATAGATTTCCCTTCAGATATATTCTACTGACATTAGTGAGCAATTGATAATATATAATTGATCCTGCTTCTCAAGCCAACTGAAAATTAAATTTATTTTGAAAAAACAACATGGCTTTATAATTTCTTTGGACATAACTGAGAGTTAATGAAAGATGTAGTAAACAACACATACAACTAACACTGATTTCAGTTCATAAGAAAACTTATTTCTCACACTAAGATTGCACACATGCTACTCAAAATGGAAAGCCTGCAGTGTTGTAAGGAAAGATAAGATCACAGAAACAGTGTAATTAAACTTGGGTATCTACTTTCGATTACTATTAAACTTTTATAACTATTTTATTCTCCCTCAGCCTATTCCCAAGTTTTAAATTGTTTAAACAGGTTTGAATAGATAAACTGTAAATGTAGTACAGAATTTAAACAGATATGATGGATTCTCCTCCATACCTGGGCATTTCAAAACTCCAGTGTTTCAGATTAGTTCCTTAAATCTTCCTACAAGCGGTGTTCTAATTCAGCTGCAGCTACTGAAGCATGGAATGCAATTCTGCAGCTGTGATACACAAGACTTAAGGGAGATGACCACAAAAGACACCAACTGGTGTTAAAATCTGTTAATCTATGTACCTCTCTGCTCATATTATTTTAGCAGAACAGAAATCAACTGCCTTGTCTTCTGCAATTCTGCTTCCATGTTTTCTATGTTACAGTCTCCAACTCAAAGCTCTTTCTTTGTACTTTTTGTGTTTTTCTTTTTTTGCCCAATTTTCTCTAATTTGCAAAACATACACTTGCAAAAGAATAAAAAAAGGAAACAATCAGTGAAATCAAGTCTCTCACATCTTTTCTTTCTTGTCCCAGGAACTCAAAACCCTACCAAAATGAAATGCTGCACTGTATATGTACCTTTTTATTTTTTCTTTTTTTTTTTTTTTTGAGAAAAGGATGGAAGGATAAATAATAAGAATTATGTTAATAATTTTGTTTGACAGAGTATCAAGGCATCAAAACACAGCAGGGATTAAGGATGGTACAGGACCCTCAACAGAACAGAACAGGCACATACTTTGGCTAAGAAACATAAACAGCCCATTTAAAATGCTGGTGAAAAAAAAAGGAAAACTCTAATGCAGCTGTTCCTTACATTGCAATAACTTTCTTTGTTCTATGTATGGTCTTTTTTTACTTGAATCTTTTGGTCGGTATTGCCAGGAAGCCTACCCATGTAATTTTCTTTTATTTTTATAGCTGCTATTTTTGCTCTATTACTAGAGGATTCCCAGGACCTTCCTCTTTAAAAAGTAACCAGAAAGGAGGACAATATTGTGAAACTTGCAAAAAATCAGAAGTGGAAAAATGGAGTGATTATAAGTGACCAGTTTATTCTGTGTTGTGTTCAACTACTGATTTTTGCATGTGGAATACATGCAAAGTTAAAGACACATAGCTTCTCTGACTCTTACTTTAGAACCCCTGTCTACCTAGTTAAATGCATCAAACCAAGAGTCCTGTTAATACTGGATGATAGCACCATCAGTCACCTAAAACTTTTGAAATCCCTCTGAAATTTCTTCCATAATCTTCATTTGTTGTACATATTTAGAGCTGCTTCCCTAATATGTTACTGTATAAAGCTACTGTACCTAAGGGACTAGTCTGATTTAAACAAAACAGACCCTAAATATGAAACATAGTGTTCCAGAAATTTTTACCATCAGCCACTGGTGGAAGCATGAATCATTCTTTTAGTTTCTCACAGACTTAAAAAAATGACATTTTAGTATAACACATGCTTGCAACTTCATGAAAGACCAATATTTACTTGTCTATTTTCTCTCTGACAAGAGTGATTTTTTTTTTTTCCATTTTGGTGTCATCAGGGAACAGAGAATGTTCCTAAACAAAGCTATAAAAGTGCTGTTGAAGTTATAATGAAGTCCTGAAAAATCATTGAAATATATGTTTCAATGGTACTGACGCTGTTGAAGGTTCATGTAAATCCAGAAAATTTATTTTCTAAACTTTTTGTGATCTTTCTTTGCCTGGCTGCTTGGAAAGTTTGTTTTGGAACATTCTGAACACAAACCAGTCCTCAGGTTTTCTTTGTCCTCTCTTCTGTCCCATGACAATTCCACTCCCATTAAATACAGGAGTGTCTTTGTTTAACCGCCAACAGAGTCAACCTCTTTTCATGGCTTCCAGGTTGGTCTATAGGTTTCTTATTGTTTCCTAGGAAATGTAATAAGATTCCCAATGATTTCTGTACTTGCCTTTAAGTTTTCAAAAACAGCTATTCAGACCTTTGGGAATGCCAATAATGCATAACGTTTCAGGTAAAAGAAACCAAGTAGCTAATGAAAAACCCCCTCTGCAGATACTGGAGTCAGGTAAACCATTCAGACAAACTCATAGTCACAAACCAGCCCTGTCTGCCACTCCGAAATGGCCCCTGAAATTTGAAATACCCACAGGTTTTTGTTGAATAAAAGTCCAGCTGAGACCTTTCAAACCCTGCACTAGTGTGCCAGCAGAAGTGCTGTGGAGCAGTGTAATTATATATCTCTGCATCGGATAAACTACTGTGAACCGTGTAACAAA